ATGTTTTGTAACACCTTAAATAGTGAAAAAACCTATAAGCTATTATTTGTGATATTCCAGGTCTGAAGACTTGCGCCGTGAGTTTGGTCGTTACGGGCCTATAGTTGATGTATACGTTCCACTTGACTTCTACACTCGACGTCCCAGAGGATTTGCTTATGTTCAATATCCTTTCTTCAGATGGCTGATTAGTGAGGGGTGTTGAAGTTTGAAATTCAAGTTTGTGTAAGAGGTAACAAATCTAAATGAAAAAGCAGTTTACTTTTGTGTTGTATCTAATAAGTGTCTGACTTATTTTTGTGGTGTTTTCGTTATTTTTGGAGATTAACTTCTCTCAATTGTTCTTTGCCTTTTTGCAAAACTTAAATCAAGTCCAGTAATCTAAAAGCTTGCTTATGTCACTGAAATTAATACTATGTGATTTAAATGAAAATTTATCACTGACTCAGAATTGTCTAGCACGTTTTTATTATCACTGGTATGTAAGTAAAGTTGTGCTTAGCAAACTGTGGCTGGTATTCATTGTTAATTTAACAAATGGAAACTGGAATCACTTGATCAAAAATCAGATTGTATAAAAAAATGAGGTGAACTTCTTTCTTTAATATTGTCCCCTAATTTACTGTCCTCTGTTGTTGCCTCAGAATGTAAAGCTGTACAGTAATGGCGACCCCAAAGAGAAAGCATGAAAGAACCTTTAGAGTAGAGTTCAACAATTAAGGCAAGTAGACAAGCCAAAGACCTCTTAAGGATCAGGCTTGAAGAGAAGGGAGAGTTTGGGAAAAGAAAAAATAAAGAAAAGCTGGAAGAAGGACAAGCCATAATGGGAGACAAAGCTTCGCTTTATCTACAAAAGGGGGAAAAGGTTGTTTTTCAAAGTAAAAGATAAAGCCATCTGTCATTTTTGGCCAAGCATCTCATGACAAGTCCTTCTGACAAGCACTTAAAGAGTTAAAGGTCAAGATGAAGTTGAATGGTGGCCAAGATTAAAGGAGTCATACCTGATGTATCCTACAGAATATCAGTTTCTCTTCTGTTTGTCACGTAAGCAGTAAGTTGATGAATGATTCTGGTTTAGTCCATTGACAGAACCTGTGATATTTCTCTCGTGAGTGCTGTTGTAACTGTGGTCTTGAATGAAAGCGCATTCCTCCTTGGTTTATCAGATAGATCCCTCCACCCTGATAGTTTAGTTTCTGCCTAGATGATGCTGATGATGAACTGAGTTGCTACAAGGAGAAAGGCAATTTGTTCTTTCAGGTCACACAGCTGGAAGAAGGTGTGTGAATTACAGCAGTGGTTAATCTTGTGGGTTAAAATTAGTAATGGTTGTGTTCCTGACTGCTAGCGTAGGGTTATAGTGTATGCTTTTATCTCAGCCTCTTGAAGGTCTGTATACTTCCCCATGGCATTACCTGATTTAAACTTCAGATCAGTTGGTGGATTAAAAAAAAAAGGAAAGCTTTATCCCAATTCTAAAATTAATAGATATTAATTTTTACTGTTGGTATTCCTAACTTAATCTAAGAACTAGAGTTTAACGTTAGTAAAGTCAGTGTAGTGCAGGGAACTGAATGACCATTAGTAAATATTTTGAAAAGGATACCAGTTTTTCTTTCCTTGCATAAGTACAAGTGGGAGAAGGAGAAAAAAGTTGAGAGTATTGCATAGCAACTGCTTGCTGATAGATAAGTTCATGGTCACTCCCTGGAAGTGTTGAAGGCCAGGTTGGATGAGGCTTTGAGCAACCTGGTCTAGTGGAAGGTGTCCCTGCTGATGGCAGGGGGGTTGGGACTGGATGAGCTTTAAGGTCCCTTACAACCCAAACCATTCCATGATTCTATGAAATTATGAGATTTTAATTTTATTATAGGAGTTCTCAGATAGCTAGTGGTTTGTTTAAAAAAAAACCCAACTAGTGTGTACTGTAGCATGACCAAAAGAACTTTAAAAAAACCCCAAAACAAACAAAAAACCCCTGTAAAATTAGAACATAACTGTATTTTTTTTTATTTTATTTTAAATACCAAATCTGTAAACTGCTCAAATTCCCAAGTACCTTAACACTCACCACATTTGAAGATGTCCGTGATGCAGAGGATGCTCTCCATAACTTGGATCGAAAGTGGATTTGTGGTCGGCAGATAGAAATCCAGTTTGCACAGGGGGATCGGA